GGGTCAGGCCCAGTTACTCCCTCTGTACTTCCAACTTTCAGATTAGGATATGAGCTCTCAGCAACTGCTTCAGTGTGATGCCTGCTCGTCTGCTGGCTTGCTTCCTGCCATGATAGTCATGGGCTCACCCTCTGAAACTGTAAGCAAGCTTCCAATTAAGTGCTTTCTGTTATGAAAATGCCTTGGGCATAGTATCTCTTCACAGGAATAGAAAACTAAAAAAGGCACTAATCAACACCTGCTGCCGTCCGTCTCGTGGCTAAGAGGCACATCAAGTGTGTGTGACACCATGTGAGGCTGAAGCTCTGGCTTGTAGTTCTCTAATAGTCAGAGCTAATGAACATCTTCTCATGTATTTATGGGTACTTTCTATCTCTCTTGTGTATGGTTTTCTTTTTCTTCTTTGTCTTGGGTTTTTTTCAAAATAGGGTTTCTCTGTGTATGACTGTTCTGGAACTTGCTCTGGAGACCGGCTGGCCTCCAGCTCACAAAACCCCACCTGCCACTGCCTCCCAAGTGCAGGAGATTGAAGATGCAAGCCACTGCTGCCCAGCTTGTATTTTTCATCTCTAGATCACACCAGAAAATGTTGTCATTTTAGCAACAGTAAGTCAGCCAACCTGTGAGCCATCTAATCCATTTTTCCTTGTTTTTATTAGTTGTGGAAGTTCTGAGCCAGGAGTTGTGTCATACACCTTTTATCTCTGATCCTCTGGGACTGGAGTTACAAATGGTTCTGAGCTGCCATGTGGATGCTGGGAATTGACTCCAGGTCCTCTGGGAAAGCAGCCAGTGCTCTTAGCATCTTACTGTATCTCCACCTTTGCTCTTTACATTTTTGAGTTATTTCATTCAAGAAAAATGATTTAAGAAGTCTAATTTATTAATGTTTCTTTGGTTATTTATGGTTTGGGTGTCCTGTATAAGAAACCATTGCCTAAAGCTAGGCTAGGTGGTGGTGCTACACGCCTTGAATCCCAGAACTCAGGAGACAGAAGCAAGAAGATTTCTGTGGGTTCAAGGCCAGTCTGGTCTACAGGATGAGTGTGATACTAGCCAGGGCGGCACAGAGAGAAAGCCTGTCTCAAACAAACAAACAGGAGGAGGAAGAGGAGGGGGGGAACGAAGGAAGGGAGGAACGAACCAACCAATCAACTGACCAACCATTGAGACCAATGATATTGCCCAGTAAGTAAAAATACCTGTTATCATGCCTAAAAATAGAGGGGTTGGTGAGATGGCTCAGAGCACTGGCTGCTGTTCCAGGAGTACTGGGTTCAATCTCAGCACCCACATGGTGGCTCACAACCATCTATAAGGGGGTCTGATGCCCTCTACTGGTGGCATGTCTGGCAAACAAGTCTCTGAAGCCATCCAAAAAGGAGAAACATACACATACACACACACAACACACTCTCTCTCTCTTACACTCACATACACTCACACACACATATTCTCTCTTACACACACACACTCACACACAGCACTCTCTCTTACACACACTCTCACACACATTCTCACACTCACACACACAGTCTCACACTCACACACACATACACTCTCTCACACACATACACACACACACTTTCTGTCTCTCTCTCTCTCTCTCTCACACACACACACACACACACACACACACAGAATTGGTAAAGCAAAGCTCTAACAACTTTTCTTCTCCCACAGCTTATATAGCTCAGCAGAATCTTTCAAGCAATATAAAAATTACAATGTAGTTATTTTCTGTTTTTCTTTAAGTGAATAATTCCAATGGGATTTTTTAAAATGGCATGCTCCTTAATATCTTTACATGATTAAATATTTTATATAGTATAGGTAAAAGAAAAATTATTCCCAAGAACCTACAAACAATTGTATCTAAGTCACTTGTGAACATATTAACAAAGTCTAAGCAAGCAAGGTATTTTCTTCTCAGTCAGTTTCTCTTACTAGAAGGCTGCTATTTGCTGTTACAAAGAAAGAGTCAATTATTTTATTATTTATTTTTAAAAGCAATCTTATTAAAATCTTGAAAGAATTACAAATCTAAATTTTTATATATAAAAACAGTCATTTCTATTTTAAATCCTCAGGGTGCACACCTACTCATTAATAATTTTTTTATTAAATCATATCAGGAAGCTGAGGGCAAAAATGGGTATGAGAAGTTAATCATCACCTTGCTCACCAGCACCAGACTTAGCAAGAAAGGCAGGTCAGTGAGTGCTAGATGGGCGACCATTGTTCTTGTTCCTTGACTTCAAAACATCCCTGGCTCAACTACTTAAACTGTGCCTTTCTGAACTTTTAAAAATTGTTCCCCAAGATTTTCTACATCAAAGCCACTACAAAACAAACAAACAACCCCAAGTGTTGGGATTAAAGGAATATGCCACCATGCTGAGCTTTATTTTATTTTTGTATGCATGATATGTGTGTGCATGTGCGTGTGTGTTTGCATGTATGCCATGGCATATCTGTGGAGATCAGAGAATCGACAAGAATCAGTTCTCAGCTTCTATCATGTGGATTCCACGAACTGAACTCAGGTCCTCAAGTTTGGTGACAAGCACCCTTACCTGATGTCGCATCTCACTAGCCTTTTTGTTGTTTTCTGGTTTTTTTCAAGGTAGGGTTTCTCTGTGTAGCCAAGCTGTGTAGACGAGGGTGGCCTTAGAGGTCCGACTGTAATCTGTTTGCTGTTCTTACCATGTTGTCTTGACTGGCCTGGTATTTTTTTATGTAGCTCAGGCTGGCCTTGAGTTCTTGGCAGTTTTCCTACCTCAGCTTCCCTAATGCTGGAACTATATGGAGAAGCCACCAGGACAGTTTTATTTGTTTTTGTTTTTACTGTACTTTAAAAGTTAGATTTTCTTTTAATGTGGGGGAGCATATGTGTGTGGTGGATATGGAACTCAAAATTTTGTGCACACCAGGCAAACAGTCAACCGAATTACATACTTTAAATTAAATATCCTCCAGTACTTAGAACATTTTGAGAACAGAGGATTTGAGTCTAATGCAGGGCTTCCTCAGGGATACTTTCTAATAATTTATTCTTCATTTCCAGTTTACAAGTCAGGCTTTCTTTTTTTTTTTTTAAGATTTATTTATTTATTATATATGAATACACTGTAGCTGTCTTCAGACACACCAGAAGAGGGCATCAGATCTCATTACAGATGGTTGTGAGCCACCATGTGGTTGCTGGGATTTGAACTCAGGACCTCTGGAAGTGCAGTCAGTGCTCTTAACCACTGAGCCATCTCTCCAGCCCCAAGTCAGGCTTTCTTGTTTCTTTCTTTCTTTTTTCTTTCTTTTCTTTTCTTTTCTTTTCTTTTTTTTTTTTTTGGTTTTTTTTCGAGACAGGGTTTCTCTGTGTAGCCCTGGCTGTCCTGGAACTCACTTGGTAGACCAGGCTGGCCTCGAACTCAGAAATCCGCCTGCCTTTGCCTCCCAAGTGCTGGGATTAAAGGCGTGCGCCACCACCGCCCAGCTTATACATGCTGTCAACTTAGATTTTTAAAAAAGTAGCACCAAGGGCCACAGTGATCTGTCCCTTACTTTAAAAGAGCTTATATCCAGAGGGAGCTGCAGCTTATCTTTGTGATGGACAGGTACCCCCACTTAGATATGTTCTCAGTAAGAAAGCTGAATTATGGAGTTTATATGAGTGTTTAAAAAAAATTAGTCAGGGAGAGTTTCTATGCCAGGTCGCCTGTGGATCGGAGGAACGACGTAGAGAGCCTCTACTAACCCCACACTGAGCACAGATGGGCAAGCCACTCTATGCTCTCAGAAGACTGTCCAGTGGCTCAACTGGAAGGACGGGATTCGCAGGGCCAAGGTGAAGAAACAGGAAATATAGTAGAGAAGATAGATAAAATTAAAAAACAAAACAAACAAAAACCAGATGGTGTTATTGTAATTAGAATTGGGGCCAGGCTCAACCTGGACTAGAGGAACTGGGCAAGGGACAGCCCTGGCCCACTATCCAGCTCCGCCTAGGCCCGCCCACTGTGTGGCTCTCGCGTGGTCTGAGTTCTCGTCGGCCCGCAGGGGCCGACGGGAACGGCGGCCGCACTAAAGAGGGCCGACATGGCGGCGGCGGCGGCGGCTTCGCTTCGCCGGTCGGTGCTGGGCCCGCGGGGCGTGGGGCTTCCAGGTGCAAGCGCTCCGGGCCTGCTGGGCGGCGCGCGGCCCCGGCATCTTCCATTGAGGACACCGCAGGTGAGTACTGGCGCGGGCCCGGTCCATCGCGCGCCCCTCAGCCCTGAAGGTCACGGCGGGGAGGCTCAGGGCGCGCGCCGGCATCGGTCTCCTACATTCCTCCTACGACTCGGCAGGGTCCCCGCTGACGGGCCGGCACACTCGGGAAGCCAGTCTGGGTGCCCACGCCTTGGAACGTCAGGGCATGTTGCTCTGAGCCCAGGGTCCGGCTGTGGTGGGGTCGGGACGGGAGATGCCTGCGAAGGGCTCGCCCAGAACGACTCCCGAAGCCAGCTGTCTTGACCTGGCTGATGCCCTGAAGTGACCCCAGCCTGACCTCAGCGGGCTGCGGGTGACCTTGATCTGCTGCAGTCCTCTGTCACTTAGGCTTGTCTCCTGGTTTAAGTTCCACGAGCATTCTTCATTTGCCCTACAGAGCCGAGCTGTGGCCGAGGAGTGGGCTGCAGTGAGGGATCCAGCAGGCAGTGGACATAGTGTGCCTTTGGCGCTCTGCGGGCGGTGGTGGCCAGTGCTGGGCGGAGGTTGACCTAAGAGATGGGCGTTCATTCAGATCCCCAGGTGGGCTGGTGGGGTCTTGGCAGGTGCTGAGCGGGACTCTTGCAGGCAGTGTCCTTGTCCTCGAAGTCTGGCCCTTCTCGAGGCCGAAAGGTGATGCTATCAGCGTTGGGCATGCTGGCAGCAGGGGGTGCAGGGCTAGCTGTGGCCCTTCATTCTGCTGTGAGTGCCAGTGACCTGGAGCTGCACCCCCCCAGCTACCCATGGTCTCACCGTGGCCTCCTTTCCTCCTTGGACCACACCAGGTGGGTGTGTAGCGGCGGGCTGGGGGTGGAAGTTTCTGGGTGAATTGGAATCTTCAGTTCATCTAATCCTTTCTGTCTTTAGCATTCGTAGAGGTTTCCAGGTATACAAGCAGGTGTGCTCTTCCTGCCACAGCATGGATTATGTGGCTTACCGCCACCTGGTGGGAGTGTGCTACACGGAGGAGGAAGCCAAGGCGCTGGCTGAGGAGGTGCGGGGGAGTGGGGGGGAGCAAGAGAAGGTGGAGGATATAGGGATTGTGGCTTCAAACTGTGAGGGATTGAAAGACTGTGATGGGGTTCTTGGTGGCAGGTGGAGGTCCAGGATGGCCCTAATGAGGATGGGGAGATGTTCATGAGGCCAGGGAAGCTGTCTGACTATTTTCCAAAACCATACCCCAACCCTGAGGCTGCAAGAGCTGCTAACAATGGAGCTTTACCCCCTGACCTCAGCTACATCGTTCGAGCTAGGTACTTGGGCTGCCCAGAGTGTGGGGCTAGAAATGGAGGGAAGTCAGCTTTGTGTTAAAGACTAAACCGTGGGTCTGGTTCTAGGCATGGTGGTGAGGACTATGTATTTTCCTTGCTCACTGGCTACTGTGAGCCCCCCACTGGGGTGTCATTGCGAGAAGGCCTCTATTTCAACCCTTACTTTCCCGGCCAGGCCATTGGCATGGCTCCTCCCATCTACACAGAAGTCTTGGAGTATGATGATGGTGAGTTTCCTTTACCATGGGTCCTCTCCTACTCCTAGCATGCTTCCCCAATATGCCCGGGTCTGGAGGTCTATCTGCCTTCTCACCTGGAATGCTTTTTGACTGCATATCTAAAAAGACTTTGGAGACAGCTTTCTTAGTCCTGTAAGGTTCCTATCCCTTTGAAGTCAATGGATATGGCTAATCCCTGCCTCTGTGCACTGAGGGTTACCCTGGATTGGCCCAAGCCCCCACAGGTAGCCTATTTTTTCTTGTCCCAGGCACCCCAGCTACCATGTCACAAGTAGCCAAGGACGTTGCCACCTTCCTTCGCTGGGCATCAGAGCCAGAGCATGACCATCGAAAACGCATGGGGCTCAAGGTAAAGGGTTTGGCAAGGGTCAAAGTGGGCAATGAAAAAGCGTCTTTCCTGTGTATCTTTTCTGAGCTTTCTTTGTTCCCAGATGTTGTTGATGATGGGCTTGCTGCTGCCCCTGACTTATGCCATCAAGCGGCATAAGTGGTCAGTCCTGAAGAGTCGAAAGCTGGCTTATCGGCCACCCAAGTGACCCTGTTCAGTATCTGCTTGTCATCTTGCCTGAACAAGCTCTCAGCAGCCCAGGAACAGTCCGAGGCCTTTTCAGGCCTGGCCCCTTTTCGTCAAATATGAGGGCCAGGAGACCAGACTCTTGCTTCTGATCTTCCTTCAGCCCTCACTGTGGGAATAAATTAAGTTTCTCAACATACACATTTTAGCTGTTCAATGACTGAAGCACACATTTCAGTGGAACCCTGGAACCCATATTTCTCCACAATATTGTTTTCTATACTGCCCAGTATCTGGGAGTTATTGAATGGGACAGAATGCAAAAACTGGCTAAGAGCAGCACTCTTTGCATGGGAGAGATGCTAGGTGGTTAAGAGCACTAGCTGTCCTTCCAGAGGACCTGGGTTCAGTTCCCAGCAATCACACAGTGGCTCAATCACTAGATTCATGAAGCGTCTTGGTACCTAGAGCAGTGTGATAGATGATTGTCAGGAAGATCACAAAGGCAGGAGACTCAAGACTCCCAGTGCTAAAACACCCTAAGTGGGGAAGGAAAAATACTGTTCTGCTATTGGTATAGTTGCTGAAGCAGCTAAAAGTAATGTTGATTGCAATATAGGAGGGTTTGAGAAGGGCAACAATAGGGCCAGGGTTAGTGAGAGGAACTGTTAGCAGGTCAGCAGTATGGAGAACCCCCATAGGCTCAGAGGCTCTGGTCCCAGTATTCTGTTCTATGACCACTGGGACTAAGTATACTGGATTCTAAGTATATTCTTCAGCAGTCTCCTGGTTGTAGTTTGGGGAACCCCACCAGCTACTAATGCACAGAACCTTGTTTCCTTGCTCTCAGGGAGCTAGGGTAGTGCAACTCCACATCCAAGACTAGAACACAGGCTAGCTCTTACGTGTCTTTAATTACTGGCTTGTGTCCCCAACAAGCAGCAGTCAAATGGTGGTGGTTGGGCCTGTGACAGGAGGGCCACGTTCTCTGTAACCTGAGGAAGAAGATAGGTTATTCCTGTTTATTCTACACTATATCCCCTCACCCCCACCCAGCCTCTGGTACCTTTGGTGGCTTCTAAGTGGAAGCTGAAGTAAGGGGATCCCAAGCACAGGGCCTTTGGGTACTACACATCTCACAGCCAGGGCGGTTTGAGGCATTGATGAAGGTGCAGGAAGGGCAAGACCAGCCAGGCTAGGAAGGCAGGAAGACTGTTGATGCTTCTTAGTCTTCCAATGCCCACAGCTGCCCATATCTGGCCCACACCCAAACTGGTTATTTGCCCACCTGAGGGGGACTTGGGAGACTGGAACTGGATGGCTGGAGGTTATGAGGCAGCTCCAATGACTGAGGAAACAGGCATCCTAATTTCCTATCCACCTTGGAGTTTTGAAGGCTGTGTCCTGTAATAGAGGAGAAGGCTCAGGGCCACCTCAAGACTACACCCCACCTCTCTTACCCCATTAAGTACTAACCTGAAGCTTCTCGGGGGGCTGAGAGCAAGTAAAGAAAAGCAGGATCCCCATCTTGAGAGACCCCATAGGAAGCAAGGCTTCGTTCAGGCATACACAGGCACCGCCCAATGACCCAGCGCTGCACAGCTGGTGGGAAACCGAACTCTGAGAACACCTGAGGCCAGAACATCAGGGCTAGGCAGTGTCACTCACCCAGGATCCCTGCTGTACACAGGAGATTCCCGACGCCCATGCTCACCTGTTCCTGGAGGGCTGCAATGGAGCAGTGTGGGTGGATCTGCAGTGAGACATGGGCAGACGATGAAGAGGACAAGACCGATGTGGCATCTTCAACTGTGACTTGCAGCCTGGGTCAGAATATAGATCAGGGTGTTGATAGTTAACCTGGGAAGGTTAGAAAGGCAGATAAGCAAGACCAGGCCTTACCTTATGGGACCTGATGGGAACCAGGCCTCCATGAGCTGGACATTGAGAGCCACATGATGCTGTGCCAGGATTGCTGCCACTTGGGCTGCTGCTTTCTCATCCCCACCTGCTATGGCCTGGGCCAGGCGTGTAGCCAGCTCTTCTACAGGGAGAAAAGACAGCTATCACAACTAGACACCAGCCACAGCCCCCCAAGTCCTTCCAGTTTGTCTTTACCTTTTTTTAAGTTTCCAGAACTTTGAGGAGGATCCACCTCAGGTTGGGTTGCTTTAGGTATTTGAGCCACAGAAGAACATGGTGGAGAAATGGGGCACATTGCTCGGGCTGGGGCCGGGGCTGGGCTGCCACTGCCTAAGAGGGAAGATGTGGATTAGGCTAGTGGTCTCCAACCTCAGATTTTTAGGACCTTTGCTTTCTCTGCCTCATTCCACTATCCTTAGGCCATAATTCAGGCTAAATCTTCCTCTCCCGGCCTTGGCCCCCAAAACAAAAACAACTCTCAGTTGGAGAGAGATGGGGCTTTTTTTTTTATATAGCCTGGGTGTTTTGGAATTCACTCTGTAGACCAGGCTGGCCTTAAACTCAGAGATCCGCCTGCTTCTGCCTCCTGAGTTGCTGGGATTAAAAGCACGGACCACCACTGCCTGGCTTAAAATGCTTTTCATACAGACACAGACCTGAGAGTTCAAATTCCCCAGACCATATAAAGCCAAGAATGGAAGTGTAGATCTGTAATCCTAGTGTTCATATGAGTTGGGGGTAGAGGCAAGAGAATACTCAGAAACTTTCGGGATTCGGGAAACTACCCTAGCTTATAAGGAGGCTAAACAGTAGAGACTCTTCAACAAGGTGGAGAGTGAGGACTGACACTTGAGGTTGTCCCAAGATTCCCTATGCACATGAATGCCTCTCTATACAAATACATGCACACCAAAGACACAAACACACACACACACAGGAAAAAGAAAAAAAGTAGTGCCCAGTTGGATGGTACACATCTATAACACCAACACTCTGGATGCACAGGTAAGAGGCTCACTGACAATTCAAAGCCAACTTAGGCTACACAGTGAATTTGAGATCAGCCTGGAATTCACATTGAGACCTTGTCACAAAGAACAGTATTAAGGGCCGAGTACACATATCTGGCAAATGAATGACAAGAGAAAGTCTCTTTTTCAACAGTAAGTTACCCAGGTTCTCTTATGTCAGTTTCAGGTCTTCCTCAGGTATTTGTAGGCTTTCCTACCTCTTCCCAGGGCACTGTCTACATCAGTGGTTCTCAACCTGTGGATTTCAATGCTTTTGGGAGTCGAATGACCCTTTCACAGGGGTCACCTAAGGCCACTGGAAAACAGATACTTACAATTCATAACAGCAAAATTACAGTTATGAAAGTAGCAATAAAAGTAAATTTGTGGCTGGAGGCATCACCACAATGTGAAGAACTGTATTAATGGGTTGAAGCATTAGGAAGGTTGAGAACCACTGGTCTACATCCAAACCCCCCCCTTTTCCCCAAGATAGGGTTTCTCTGTGTAGTCCTGGCTGTCCTGGAACTCAGAAATCCGCCTGCCTCTGCCTCCCAAGTGCTGAGATTAAAGGCATGTGCACCCTGCCCAGTGCTCTCTTTTCTGTATGCTTCTCCTGATGACTTTGGGTGACCTCTCCAACTCCCAGCCTTTACCTCTCCAGAGTTTCTGCCATGTCCATGCTTTTCCAAGCAGGCACTGTGTCAAGCCTCACACTAAGTGGTTCTTCTAGCTCAGTCTTAATCACTAACTCTTCCATTTGAAGAGACCACAAGATCTATCTAATTCCATCTCCTAAGATCCTCTGGCCTTTGCAGCCTTGCCTGCACCACTCCATGTAACTGCAGAGTCTCTTATCTTTAAGTCTCTGTTATTTTTCCACGGAATACAATTCCATTGTTCTTAAACTCTCAGTCCTGCAGCAATGCTTGCTCTTTTTTCACTTGTCTGGTACTACTGGTGTCAGCTCTTGAACCTCTTATTTCTCCACTTTCTTCCTCTTGGAAGTCTTCCTAGATGCCCAGCTTTTCCCATCACTACCCTCAACCACGACCAGGAGGCCCGGACTTATTCAAATAAGCATTTATTCCACAACACTGACCATTTTGTCCTTCTGCGGTGGCGTCTCGCACCAGTGCTGCCCACTGCTGTGCTTCCTCGGAGTCGAGGAAGTGCACACTGAAGGTTCCAGGACCTCCAGGTGGAGGCTGCAGCTCGTGTTGGTTAGGCCCACGGACGGTATAGCAAATGGACTCTAAGGGCCATTCTAAACTGACCTGAAAAGGGAAAGAGTACTCGGTCAGTGGTTCCTCTTCATTACCCACACGAACATGAAAGGGAAAGGAAATAGGTAATTTTTACGGTCCTAAACCTTTCTTGCCTGTTATCTTACGAATTCTTCACAAGATTTGTAAGTCAGGTATCAGCATTATTCCCACTTTTACAGGAAATCAAAGGAAAATAACTGCTTAAGGACTGTCGTCAAGGTAATCGAGAGAAGGTTGATTACAGCATCCGGGCCCGCACTCACCGCCCCTGGCTCGGTGCCTAACAGTCCCAGCCGGAAGCGTCCAGGCCGCTCAGGGTCGGCTTTCAACTGTAGCTTCCGCAGCTGCGCTTCGGCATCCTGCCCAGCGCCTAGAGGTCTCACCGCGGCGTGCACTGCTAGGAGCACTACAGGTGAGGCAGGGTCTGCAGCCACTGCCGCACCGCCGGCGGGCGGCGACATTTCTGGTCCGGCGGAGTCCTGACGCTCCCAGAGCGCTTCCGTGATATAGAACTGTCGAGTGCTTCCGCCGTCCAGAAACTCGAACTATGAGACTAGGTTCCGGATGCGCCAGAGCGTGGAGAACAAGAAGGAACTAGTGCTGCGCACTACCAAAGCCTGATAGCTCGCTAAGCTATAGAGATGGTCCAAGGATCTCCAGGCACAGTCCGGCCACACTAGTCACGTTTCAGCAGGACTCCGGGACAGTGTCAAAGACCGATCACCGGTCACAAAAAGAAGGCAAGGATGGACTTTTCTCAAAGGTTCAAACGAACGATAGCTGCTGCCCGACATAAGACAATACCGGTTCTCGCAGCGAACCAGGCGCGAATACACACAAACACACACACACAAACACAGTAGGCGCACTTCGTAACCGTGCACCACTCTAGGAAGAAGGTTGGCTCTTGGGGGCGGGGCGGGTATGGCCCTAACCAATGAACACTAAGAGGGGAGGCGGGTTCGTAAGCGAGGGCGAGACAGACAAGCAATACAGCCAGTAGAATCGGAAGGTAAAGCTGAGTGGCGGAGAACTCCCCCAATAAGGTTTCTCGTGGTCTGGACCCTGTGGCTAGAGTGGACCATTCAGAGGAGTGGGGTTGGGCCCGTCGGACGCTTGTTGTTGTCGGGTCGGGGGAGGCGGAGGTCGCTGTTTAGCTCTCTGGCTGGTGCGATCTCGGCGGTCCGCGGCAGGTCGGTCGCGAAAGCGGGCGCTGCAGGGGGGCGAGGCTATGTCGCGGCTGCAGCCCGTCTGGGCCGGCAGGGCCTGGAGTAACGGGACGTCGCCGCGAAGCTTCTTCCCCCGGATACAGTGCGGCCCGAGTGGAGGCCGCGGCGCCGCCCTCCAGTCCTGAGGAACCCGCGCTGCGCGAAGCCGCGCTGCCGTCACCTCGGCACCGACACTAAGCAACCCGGCTATCCTGGCTTGATCTAGCCCATTTCTGGCAGGTGGGTGTCCTCCTTGTGCTCTAAGCGGTCCGGGCTTGCGGGAACCACAGTCCCCGGCGGGCCGCGCGCTGCTGCAGTGTCTCATGGGACTTGTAGTTCTAACGCTGCCTGGGGCTGGAGCGTCTCTCTTGGTGCACTGCCTCCTGGGGATTGTAGTTTCCCGCTGCGAATCTGCTGGTGCCTCTAGGCTTGCAGGGCAGCAATGCTAGGAGACCACTGGCCTGAGCCAGCAAAGGCGGTATGCCCGTCCGTCCTGCACACTTCGACATACGAAGTACGAATTAGACATACTTGCAAATAAAACTGAAGGACTCATGGATTTCCTCTTCTTGCCAGGAAGCAGCGAAGCAACCCATAGAACCAGGGAAGAGCTCCCATACAGGTGACTCTCAAGGCTCAAAACCCCAGATGCCCGGTTCCAAACCGGATAACAGGTTCTTACCCTATTTGAGAACCTTACTACAGTCTAGGGTGCCTGCAGAATGCTGATGTGGGTAGGAATGTCGAGAGTGAGTGGGCCCCCCAAGTCAGCCCCAGTACTCATACGTGTAGGAGGACTTGGGGTTGAGCTAGAACCTGGACATGCCATCTTCAGGTGACAGGATCATCTCCCTCTCAGCCAATGCTGAGTTCTCAGGGGCAGGTAAGATGAGGAAGAAGGGCTATGTGATGGACTCAAGGTTAGACTGAGCTGCAGACAGTAGTCTGCTAGTGGATGGAAAAGCTGAAAGCACAGCCCTTTGGAGCTAGGTAGCCATACCTGGCTTCTCACATTCCCAGGTAGTGCTGCACTAGTCCCACTCGCACAAGAAGCTCCCTTCCCAAAGGACATGAAGCTATTGGAGAACTCCAGCTTTGAGGCCATCAACTCACAGTTGACAGTGGAGACTGGAGATGCCCATATTATTGGCAGGTGAGGCTGGAGGCTCTGGGGATCAGTCTATCAAAGGTTGCTGTCTTAGCCCCTAAGTCCGCAGGGTTAGCGTGCTTCATGATTCTCTCTGCGGTCTTTAGGATTGAAAGCTACTCATGTAAGATGGCAGGAGATGATAAACATATGTTCAAGCAGTTCTGCCAGGAGGGCCAGCCCCATGTGTTGGAGGCACTGTCCCCACCCCAAACTTCAGGCCTCAGTCCCAGCAGGTAAGCAGAAACGGAGACTGCCTTCTGGGGTATGTGGGACAGTGGGCAAGGCTGACATTTATCTCTGTCCAGGCTGAGCAAGAGCCAGGGTGGTGAGGATGAAAGTCCCCTAAGTGACAAGTGCAGCCGCAAGACCCTGTTCTATCTGATTGCCACCCTCAATGAGTCCTTCCGGCCAGACTATGACTTTAGCACAGCCAGAAGTCATGAATTCAGCCGGGAGCCAAGCCTCCGCTGGGTAAGGATTAACAGAAGGGCCCAAAACCACATGGTCATTATCATTGCCTTCTCCATTTGGGTTCTACCTGCTGCCCTGTCCCCTTGTCATCCCTGACTGTAACCTCCTGTAGGTGGTAAATGCAGTCAACTGCAGCCTGTTTTCAGCTGTTCGAGAAGACTTCAAGGCCCTGAAGCCACAGCTGTGGAATGCAGTGGATGAGGAAATCTGTTTGGCTGAATGTGACATCTACAGGTGAGCTCCTGTCTTCGCAGCTGGACATGGCAGGTGTGTGTGGCAGTGGGAACCTCATACTTCTGCTTTTTTTTGCTCTTCAGCTATAACCCAGATCTAGACTCAGACCCCTTTGGGGAAGATGGAAGCCTCTGGTCATTCAACTACTTCTTTTACAACAAGCGACTTAAACGGATTGTCTTCTTTAGCTGCCGCTCCATCAGGTTGGTACCATCTTACCTCGCCTTCTCCAGCTCCCTCTTCAACTCACACCATTCCTTAACTGGGTCTGCTCTCCCTGGGACAGCCTGGGATAGGAGATCCTAAGTCTGGTGTCTCTGTCCCCACCCAGTGGCTCCACCTACACACCCTCAGAGGCAGGCAATGCACTCGACTTGGAACTGGGGGCAGAAGAGGTTGATGAAGAGAGTGGAGGTGGAGGTGGTGAGGGCAGGGCAGAAGAGACCAGCACCATGGAGGAAGACAGGTGTGGTGGTGTGGTGGCTGTGGCCATGGCCCTATCCTTGGGAGCCTGGAATGGGTGGGACAGATCAGGGTTCCTTCTGCCTGGTGTAGGTGCTATCTCCTAAAGGCCTGTTGTGTGCCAACTTCTGCCCAGGGTTCCAGTGATCTGTATGTGATGAGGAGGAGTGGAGGTCTCAGCTTCATCCAGCTTCGACCAGTGCCTGGACCTGCCTACCTGAGGAGCTCCAGAGCCTCCCCAGATGCCGGCTATGCCTTGGCACTGCCACCATCCTGGCGCTGCCCAAGGCTATACCTGCCTAGCCCTTTGGTTTCAGCCTGTGGATGTCCATTTACCCCTGCAGGCTCCTACTGCCCATGCTGTGGCTGGATTAAACAGCACGGGGTCTGATAGAAAAAGTGACTGCTCTGCACCAACAGTCTGTCACAGACAGGACAGCTGGACCACAGAGTTTATTTTTGTATTTCTTACTGGGCCTGTACACTCCAGCTCTAAGGGCCAGTAGTTTGAAGCCCTATAAGTGGTGCCCAGTGTTTATGGGACCTGGTCTTTGACCAGCCCCTCGTGCCCACTTTTGCCCCACCCCCACCCCACTTCACCAGGTGGGCCACATGCACTGAGTGTCACTTTGCTGCAGCTCATTTGTTTCCAATAAAAGTTTCTGTGACTTAGATGGAACCTGGGAGTTTGTGGGGGCGGGGCCTGCGTCGTGGGGCGGGGCCTGCGTCGTGGGGCGGGGCTGGTAGCTTTTGGTATCTTAGCAACAGCTGCTGCCTTTCCGTTACTTAGTCTCAGAGCTGTTACTATCGCTCACCTATGGGATTGTGATGGGAGACATGGGGGACAAGATAATAGAAACACTCGACCTCTACTCATCAGAGGGTGACACCTTGGCTCTGGATGTAGACTTTTATGATCATGACATCTATGATATCCCAGATCCTGGGGTGCTCATAGAAAAGAATGGTGAGGGCACCTAGCATTATTCGGACACCTCTCTAGGAAGCAGACATTTCTCAGGCTTTGTTCAGTCCTAAAGATGTAACTCCCCTGGGCAGTCCTTGACCCAGCATGTCTCTCAGAGAAGGGCTCCTCGTTGCTTTGGGCTCAAGGCCATGGTGACACTGCATTCTCTACTGGTTTACAGAATTGGGTCTGTTGGGGGGACCAGAGGTCCCACAGCTCTTTACCAATAGTCAGAGATGGCGGAGTATGTCACTGCGTTCCCGCGCCAGACTCCTGTGGCTACACCTACGTGCATACCTCCACGACATTGTGGAAAAGGTGTGGTTCTCTATGAGGTTTCTACTTGGGCTCTTCCCTAGAGACCCTGGGCACCAACTCTACTGGTCCTTACCAGTTTCCCTAGGCAGAAGAGCTCATGCCTCCATTGCTCACACATACATCTGTCTACTCTGGCCTGCAGGAAAAGAGAGCAGAGCTGCGGGTGGCCCGCATGACACATGGGCTGGAGCCACTGCGTCACCTCGAAGTGGAAGCTGGACTGTGCTCAGTAGCACAGGATCCAGTGGGTAAACGCTTCATGGTACTAGATGGTGAAGGTTACCTGCATCAGCATACCAAGGATGGCTGGGAGCAGGCAAAGCTGAAGCCTCCTGTCATACTTAATGGGCTAGTGACTGTGCCTGGTCCTCTGGGAGAAATAGGCCGCTTTGTAGGCTGGGGCCCAGCTGGACTAAGCATATTAAGCCAAGACTTCCGCCTGCTTTGGCTGAGCAAGCCACGGGTGAACAAGTCACTGGACCAGGAGCCTTTTTGCTGCTTACCAGTGTCCAACATGGGTCTGTTGATTGTGGCCCAGATGGGTGGCAGCCTGGAGCTCTGGAAGTTCCGTTCAGGAGGTCGCCGTCTGGTACCCTGTGGCTCACCTCTACGGCCACCACCAGGCTTGTCTGGCTCCTTCAAGTGTCTGGCCCTAGGGCTGGAACCTGACCACTGCAGTTGGCATTGCTTTGCTGCCTATGGCTCAGCGGTGCTCACTTTTGATCTGGACGACTGGGCTCTCGTAAATGTTAGCCAGGATCTGCATAAAACGTGAGGGGAGTCGGGACAGGTGGATGGGAGGCAGATCCCCTAAGGAGAGCCAATTATTGCAGGGTTACAGGACCCACAGACAGGGCTGTGCTCAGTCCACTGGGCCTTCCATTTCCCACCTCTAGCATCATCTCAGATATGGATTACTGTGAGGAGGTAGACGCCATGGTGACAGCTTCCCGGGATAGTACTGTGAAAGTGTGGGAGGCCGACTGGCAGATCCGGATGGTGTTTGTAGGACACACAGGTGTGTCACGTCTGACAGCTCTTGCAACCCTTCCCTTTCTCATCCTAAGCTTGCCCCTCTCCAGTGTTGGCTACATCCGAGAAATTCCTCCTTAAGCAATGATGTGTGCCAAAATGACCTGCACCTTTCCTGCAGGCCCAGTGACAGCTATGACAGTGCTTCCAAACAGCACGCTGGCAGTGTCTGCCTCACAGGACGGGACAATTCGCACATGGGACCTGAGGGCCGCAGCTCAGGTGGGAGAGGTAACTCTGGGTTGCTGGACCGAAGACGTAATCTCTGAGAAAGTGAGCCATTTGCTGGCTCCTGCAAGCCCTGGCTGGCCGGTGCTCTCTCTCTGCTCAAAAAGCATAGAGCTGTGGCGTGTGCGTACCCTCTATTCACCATTAGCACAGCTATCCGCACCAGTTCTCCATATACAGGTGGCGCCAGTGCTGCCAGCGCCAACTGATCCATCTCTGCCTGCTCGCCTTGTATGCGCCTGCGCAGATGGGTCGGTCTACCTGGTATCGGCTATTACGGGACGAACTGTGAGTTCACTGCTCTTGGAGCCGGAGGACTGTGCAGCTGGGGTGGTTTATTGTTTGTCTCGAGAAGCGTTGTGGGTGCTAACACACTCAGGGTACCTAGTGCGCGCCAATGCCGCACGCTGCCCAATGGTGGTAGTACACCGCCTGCGTCCACCTCCACCCCCAGCGCCACAGCCCTGCTGCCTGCACCTCTATAGCCATCTTACAGACCCTCGTAGTGCATTCGCTTGCTGGGAGATTGTGCGCCAGAATCAGGGAGACATGCTCCGCAGTGCCATTGCCTGGGCCTGGAAAAATAAGAATAGGTGGGCACTACCGCCAACTGAGGCTAGTTAAAGCTAACTGTGTCTGACTTAGTGACAGAGCCTTGGCCAACAGGCTCCATCACTTCCCATAGGTTTCTTCCAGTGATGGGGCACTCAGATGGCACACTGTCTGTATTGGATTGGCGCACATCAATTACAGTCTTTCGTACAGAAGCACACAACCCAGGGCCAGTGACTGCTATTGCATCTACCTGGAGCAGCATTGTGACTTCAGGTTAGTACCGTCTCTCCCTCAAAGATGGCCTGCCCCCCCACCCCCCGCCTGCACTATCCTGAAGTCCCAGCCCTGACTCCTGCCACCCAAAGGTGGAGATCTGACAGTAAAGATGTGGCGTGTATTCCCATATGCTGAGGAATGCCTGAGTCTGCTACGGACATTTTCCTGTTGCCACCCGGTGGTCATGCTCTGTGTTCTGGGGAAGCGCATCACTGTAGGCTTTGAGGATCCAGAGAGTGCCACCTATGGCCTGGTGCAGTTTGGCCTGGGTGATAAGATGCGTTACGACCACCGGCCACAGGATGATCCTATGGACCATATCACTGGTGAGCATGGAATGGAGCCAGAGTGAAGCCTGTGCCCTTATTTTCAACTGCTTCCTAACCTTAGTTCTGCCCCTAGGTTTATGCTGCTGCCCCACCCTTAAGATATTTGCCTGCTCCAGTCTGGATTGCACCATCCGAATATGGACCAGGGAGAACCACCTGCTGCGGTGGGCTGGGGCTGTATGGTGTGGGGGCAGTTAGTGGCTAGAGGGCAGCTAGTGGGGCTCTTCTGACCTCTGCTTCCCAGTGAAGACCAGGGGCTGAGCAGGGTCTTATCCTATCACTGCCTCAGATTCCTACTCTTTGAAACAGTGGCTAGATCTTAGGTACTTTTGCAGGCTCCTGAAGCTTGATGGTCCCCCTCAGGCCCTGACCTTCTCCAGCAACAATGGAGACCTGGTCTTCTCACTAGGCTCCCGCCTCCACATGGTGTCCTATAAGACCTACTTACCTACGTCCTATCTAGTTAAGGTAATACGAGGTCAAGGTAGGAGAGGTGGGACTGGCGGCTCCACAGGAACCAGCTCTGGGAACAAAACTCTATCTGCTTCTTCAGAAACTGTGTCTGAAGCACTCTGATGTGATAAGTGATCCTCCACTGCCACTGACCAGCAAGAAGCCACTGACATCCAGCCAGCTGCAGAGGCTTGCCAATCTACATGGCGCAGCCAGCCTCAGGTCTACTTGGCTGCTGTGGCAGCCTGGGGCAGGGTTTGCATAGCTATAGACCCCCAGTATGAGTTCTCTATACGCTCAACTCCCTCTGGTATTGCCATATCTCAACCCCAGAGTCTTTTCTCCTGGCTAGTTCTCACTCTAGCTTCTGACCTATCCCACCAGTAATGCCCAGAGTCCTACCTTTGCCTGTTCCTACCTACAGTGTGGCCTTGCCCTTCGGCTATTACCAGGCAACAGAACTTCAGCAGCCAGTGTTGAAAGAGGTAGTGTAGGTCCTGACCCTTTGCCAGTCCATTACCCATCCATGCCCCATGCCCAGTCTCAGGCCACAATCTCTCAGCTTCTGGCCTGGGACCCTCATGGTTGCTTGGGGAGCACATGGCAAGTCTTCAAAGAAGCATAGGCTGACCACTGATTTCCACCTCAGGACTTGGAGAGTATCATAGCCCGGGATCAAGACCTTCACGAACTGAGGCAAGGACTGATAGCCCCAGCACCTCGGCCCTCACTCTCCTTTAAGCAGCGCCAGGAAGCCTTTGACAATTACTTACAGCTGATCTATGGGTCTGACCTGATGGTAGGTATGAAATCAGTCCCAGGCTCTGTCATGACCTTTACCTTGTCCGACACAAGCTTCTGGTTTTTTCCTGTCCCAGGACATGAAGTCTGAAAGGGACTGGAGCACAACAGAGAAGGAGTCACAGGACACAGAGACTCAGCCTGGAACGGCCATCATTGTTGGGCAGGCTGCATTTAGCAGTGATGTTCAGGCAGCCTCCCTACCCTCAGCCCTCCAAACCCCAGGAGCTCCAGGAAGGCGCTTTGCCCGCCCTCCTCAAGTCCCCTTGCCCATTCCACCCACCTACCGGAAGGTGCATAGCCAGGCATCCCAGGTGAGGTCTCCTTCACTTCCAATATCCACCCATGCCTGGACATTGTGGTCCCTGCCTCAAGCCGTTCTAACTCCTTGTATACCCTAGCTTCTGGCACGTTCCTCCCTGAGCTATGAGCTGGGCCTTGGCTTGGATCTCCAGGTGCAGTGGGATCAGTTTGCAGTTAAGACCGTGAGCCAGGACACATCAACCGACTACATGCAGAATAGGGTGAGGGCCCCTATTCTAGGGCAGTTTCAGGGGCTTTGGTGGTTGTGTTTTATTCTTACTTCCTATCCCTCCCCAGGTTCCACTGTTGCTGCAAAGAAGGCCCTCAGAACCTCTCTCAAAGCTCACGGGCTTCTTTCCTGCCACCATAAAGCCTTACAGGGTGAGACCTTACCCCTCCATCTTTCTAGAGGTGGCCTCTCCCGGGGATCACTCTTTGCATATCCCATCTCCCTCTGCTGTAACGCCTTTGCGTTCCACTGTGACCCAAGGGCCAAGCTTACCTGAAACCTATAGAGTCAAGGTGTAAGAACCCTGTACCTGCACAGGCATGATGGTACACACCTTTATTAATCCCAGCACTCAGGAGGCAGACACAGACAAATCCCTGTGAGTTCAAGGCCAGCTTGGTCTACAGAGCAGATCCAGGACAGCCAGGGCTCTGTTACACAGAGAAACTGTCTCGGAAACAAACAAACAAACAAACAAACAAACAAACCCCATACCTCTCCAGCCTGGCCAGTTCTGGTGCGGACATGGACTCCTTGTTGCTTTCAAGGCTTGAGCCAGAAGTCTACCGCCAATGTTTGTTTCTGCATACCAATCTCTCCAGCAGGAATGCAATGTTTCCAATAGACCTTTTCTGGAAGACCAGAGTTCTTGTGCTTCAGAGGAGCAAAGCTAATGGGGCTAGTCCCTCAAGATCCACCATCTTCCCATACTTGGTCATACTGGCCACCTAGGCAGGCCTAGCCCCGTGCTTAGCACACCAGAGTCCTGCTCAATTGTATCCTTTGCCCTTCAAGCACATTGAGCTCTCTCCAAGTTCCTTTCTTCCTATCCTGCTCCCTCTTCCAGGTTAAGTTTCACGGAGAGAATGTCAGTGCTCACCAGGGACCAGCCACTTCTGCATTTACAGTCCGTATCCCTCCGGACTACTACACTTTTCTTGGTTTCCCAAGCTAAACTGTCCATTTGCATTTGAGAACAGAGGCTACCAGTCCAGTCTGGCTTCTGGAGGCCCACGGTTATGGAGCTGTTCCTGGTAATGTCCCAGTTCAGTGATTTCAGCCCTTCAGCCCAATCTGTTGCTTCTACATCTAGATACGTTCTCGGCCCCTCAAGTTTCCTGGCTGTGTGCCCAACTCCGTGGTACTGCGGCAAATGTGGTTGCATACGGAGGTCAGCTGCCTCGGTTCCCTAGCAGAGCTTTCTAGCCAGAGCAGAGTCAAGGCAAGAAATGGAGCTTGGGGTTCTCTGGGAGGGCCCTGTTATCCCCACAGCCTGCCACGTGTTTCTTCTTGTCCCTCTGCAGCCTGGAAGCGAAGATGAGAGATGGTTAAAGCGCCGGAAGCATTCTTCTAGCAAGTGGCGAAGCAAACTATTCGGTTTGCTCCGACTGACAAGGAGGAAAGCGGGAGAGGACGAGGAAGAGGAGGAGGAGGAAGAGGAGGAGTCGGAGATAGAGTGGGTCTCCATTTCCCCATCTTCTGAGCCGGAGCCAGAGCAATGGGAACCGGACACAGAAGTAGGCACTCTAGGTTCTCATGGGAAGGGTGAGATTGGTGCTCAGAGATGGGTCTGAAGCTTCAGTCATTTCCCCTAGAGTGCCACAGATTTGATCTCAAAACTTTGCAATGAAGCCTCCAAGACTAAGGGCCACTCTCATCCCCGCTCATTTGGACGCTCGCTCTTGGAAGAACGCTATGGGCATTTGCCCAGGTTCCTGCATTATTTTGTTGTCCAGAACTGGTTCAAAAAACTGTTTCCTATCTTTACCCTGGAGGTTAGGAGACTCTGGGAAGCCTAATTTGGGAGGTGGGAAGTGGGGGGTAGAAGAGAGAAAGCAGGGGCTAATTTGCATGTAGAGTGGAGTTGGGGAGCAGCACGGTGTGAGCAAATCTTCCCACAGGCCTATCCCGAGATGGGCACAATAGAAGGTTTGGCTTCGATGTTTTTGGATTTCCTGTTAAAAGCTTCCTGGGCGGACCGAGTGAACATTCTAAATGCCCTGCTGAGATTGTTGCCTGATGTAACAGGCAACCTCCGAACCCGGTTGCAGGCCAAACTCTTATACTTGCTTAACCAAGACGATCCCCCCAAGCTCCAGGTGAGCCCCTCCCTCCAGAGTATCCCATATCCTGATGTAATCCCAGAACCGACCACAGTCCCCTACCTCTATCCTACTCCTGAGCATAGGACAAGACTCAGAAGGAGTTTGTGATGCTGGCACTGCAGCTGCTCCTGGCCTGCAGCCTGGATGTCCTTGATGTGGTGCTGGAAATTATCTCCTACTACCTGTATTCTCCAGTCAGCTGCCGGTGAGTTGAGCTCCTGCTAGGTTTTCCCTACTAGTCTGGGAGGACTTGACTTAAGCCTCATCTATCTCTCCTAGGCAAGAGCTCAAGAAGTTGCTGGAGGGGTTGGGACTCCATGACCCAGACGGTACACTGTTCAAGGAAATTATGACCTGGGTTGAGGACATGAAACTCGAATCCAAGGCTGAGATACGCACACAGTGTCAACAGAAGCTTGAAGAAATTTTTATCCAGGTCTGGTGGACCAAGGGCTGGCAGTTCACTTACTGCAAACCTACTTCCTTCAGAGGTCTCCCAGAAGACCATGAGTGGTGCCCACGGGAATTCCTCGAGTTTTTGAAATCAGAACATTTCTTGAGAGACTCACTGAATGCAGAAGGCTGTACTTGAGTCGGGGTCGGGGCCTGGGTGAGGTACCCTCTCTCTGGGGCTGGGACTTTATAATAGAGGGAGGTTTCAGAGGTATAGGTGCAAGGGTCCTTACTCTGGGTCACTCCCCTATAGGTGAATGATATGGACCAGTCCACGGTCACTGTTTTTGTGGAGCCTTCCAGGCAAGTCTCACAAACCTCTCTCATTTCTGGGGCAACCTTGCCTGCCTTGAGCAGCTCTTGGACAGTCTCACGAGCATCAGAAATGTCCTTGCATTTTCAAGAGTCATTGGTGCCTTCACCTGTGCCTTCACCTGTGGAGCCTTTGGAGTCTATGGAGAGGATGGAGTCTATGGTATCCATCTCAGAACTCCATGCGGCAAGCACACATGCACATTTGCGTATCCAGAAAACCAAAAAGGTCCTCGCTGATATGCTGCAGACCTTCTGTCTGGAGGACTCCGAATATGCAAGTTTGCGTGATGCACCAAGGAAAGTGTCACCGCTGGCGCAGACAACATGGTCACAGTCTCAGATAGTGGACCTGTTTCATATGGATATGCTTAATTTCTTCTGTGAGAATCGGAGGGCACAGCAGCAGAGATCAGTGGAGGAGGAAGAGGAAGAGGAAGAGAAGGAAGAGGAGGAGGAGGAGGAGGAGGAGGAAGGGGAGAAGGAGCACTTATCTGTCTCACGAAAACAAAAACTAAGGCCCAACACTGTGTTGCGGCCACACCGGGAACGCTGGTGCGCATGACAGTGGGTCTATTGGGCTGGCCCTGTATGGGTTGCACTGAAGGAAGGTCTTAACTAAATCCTCTCCCTTCTTCAGGCTCTATCCAATCCTCCGTCTGCATGAGGCCAAGGCACAAGACATTGGTGTGTTTCTCAGGAGTAAGTAGACACAGGCGTAAAAACTGGACTCTAATGCTCCCCTGTCTCCCCCATCCCCACCCAACCTCAGACTATAGCTTCATTTGCCTGGCTTCTCACATCCAGGTCACAAGAAGCAGAGCAAGGAGCTAACTCTCGATGGTTCTATCCGAATGCTGAAGCTGCCGTTGCCACGAGTGGATTTGCAGCCCTTTCCCCCAGGCTGGCCTGCACCCCCACGGGCACTGCCCCCGCTCCTCCTTCAGCCTTCACTTCAACGCTACTTTCTACTTAAACATACAGACCCTGATGCCTACGGTTGACCTGGCAGACAAATAGCCATGGCTCCATGGCTAAGACCTAGTCCCACCACCTTAGCAAATCACAATACTATGCTTTGCCTAAATTAAGAAATATATAAACACACACATTAATATATTTACTTACTTATTGTGTATATATACGGGTTCATTTGTGTGCAAGTATGTGTGTGGGCATGCTTGTGGAGGCCAAAAATGGATGTCAAGTGTTTATGGTTCTAAACCCTATTTTTTATTATTTTTTGGTTTTATAAAACATCTCTCTATATAGCCCATCCTGGGACTCACTATATAGACCAGGCTAGTTTCCAAATGACAGGGCTCTACTTGCACCTGCCTCCTGAGAGCTAGGATTAGAGGCATGTGCCACCGCACCTGGCCCTATTTTTACGTTTCAGTTGTTTGAGTGTTTTCCTTTATGTATGTGCCAAGTGGGTCTCAACAGAAGGTTATCTGCAGTAGGTACAACAATGACTGAACCAGCTGACATTTGAGGAAAAAGAACCAGGTAGGGCTTATGCCCAGTTTGGTGCCCTCTTCCCTTCATTCTTGAGGTTGATAAGTAAAAGCCGATTCTTTTGTTTGTTTTGTTGTTTTTGTTTTGCAGGCTGCTGAGTTTTTTTTTTTTTCCCCAAATAGGGTTTCTCTGTGTAGCCCTGGCTGTCCTGGACTTGCTTTGTTGACCAGGCCGGGCTGGAACTCACAGAGATCTTCCTGACAGGCTGCTGTTTTTATAGGTCATACGCCATCCTGATTACTTTTTGTTGTTGGGTTTTGTTTTTTTTTTGTCAACTTGATACAAGCTAGAGTAATTTGAGAAGAGAGATCCTCAACTGAAAAAATGCCTACCAGACTGGCCTGTGGACAAGCCTGTTCTTGATTATGACTGATGAGGAAGAGCTAGCCCACTGTGGGTGGAGCCACCCCTGAGCAGATGGTCTTGGGTTGTGTTAGGAAGGAGGCTGAGCCAGCCATTAGGAGCAAGCCAGTTAGTAGCAACCCTCCATGGCCTCTGCTTCTGTTTCTGATGTCAGATTCCTGCTTTGAGTCCCTCTTCTTACTTCCCTCTGTGGTAAACCATCACCTGACAAGTATGAATGAAAGTTGGTTTTGGTTATAGTGTTTTGTCACAGCAAGGTTTCTTGCTGTGACACCTGAAGGAGAGTTAAATTCTGTTCTTCAAAAGGGTAGTCACATTTCTGCCTTGATCCAAATAGGTGCTGGTGTACTGGAAAGTTATTGTTTCCTTTATATGTTAGAATTGTATGTGGTCACTCATTTCAGATCACGTATTCGTGCAAATAATATCACTTGTATCATGAATTATCTGTGCAAGCAGCCATAGCACAGGCAAAATTCCTGTTTCCTGTTGCCAAGATAAAAACACCCTAACAAACCCCGTAGTGTTGGTGCATGCCTTTAATTCCAGTACTTGGAAAACAGAGGCAAAGGCAGGTGGATATCTGCATTTGAGGCCAGTCTAGTCTACAGAGTGAGTTCCAGGACAGACAGGGCGACACAGAGAAACCATCTTGAAACCAAGCAAACAAAAAACAAACAAAAACAAAACAAAAAAGCCAGGTATGGTGGTACATGACCCTAATCCTAACACTTGGGAGGTAGAAGCAGGAAGATCTCTGAGTTTGAGGCCAGCCTGGTCTACAAATTGAGTTCTAGGACAGCCAGGACTAAACAAAACAACCAAAAGCAACTAAAGTATTTGACTCACAATTCTAGGTTGCAAGCCATCATTGTGGGGGAGTCAAGGCTACAGAAACCTTGAGCCACTTGCTATGTTCAAGGAAACCGCCCAAACTGATGGAACTCTGGTCCCAGTTTATTAAAGGAATAGTTCAGTGAATGCACACCCAGGATTGATCAATCAGAGACACAGTCTAGACGCTGGGAGCTAAGACTGCGACCCCAAATACTTCCCAAGGCCAGTTTATAAAGGCAAAACCCACAATGAGCTCATATGCAGGTATAGAAAGGGCTGCAGGGTGGTGGGTTCTTACTCAAGCTATTTGACAGTTTAGACAAAACAGTTCAAATGGATCTTTAATTTGATTGGTCCTAAGTGGAGCCTTTGGTTGTGGAATTTCCTAAGAATAACAAGCCTTATACCAGGATATGTGGTCAACCTGATCCTGCTCTGAGTCAAACTATTTTCTGTGTCAGGAATAATATAAAATTATTGGCAGGCACGTAACAAAATGGCTACAGCTGCATTAGAGGAGCAGGCCTCAACGAAGCTAGTCACATTCCACCCACAGTCAGGAGAAGACTCTAATGAGTCATACATGCGAGTAAAAGTTTACCTTTTCCACTCTTTTTTTTTCCCCTTCCCTTTTCCCTCTCGCTCCAGCCCCGAACGCTCCAGCCCCACTCATTTCAGACACCCCATAAGATGGCATCAGATCTCATTACAGGTGGTTGTGAGCCACCATGTGGTTGCTAGGATTTGAATATATGACCTCCAGAAGAGCAGTCAGTGCTCTTAACTGCTGAGCCATCTCACCAGCCCCCTGCTTTTTCCATTCTTATAAAGCCCCTTTCCTAGGGAATGGTAACACTCACAGTGGGCAATGTCTTTCCACTAAGATAAGCCCCCACAGACATGCCTAAAGGCCAACTTAATTTAGACAGTCACTGAGATTCCCTTTCTAGGCAACTACTTTGTGTCAAGTTAACAAAGTTAACTTTGTTTATAAGAAAAGTAAATATCTTTGAGACCATCTCATTTCATAGCCCAGGCTAGCCTCAAACTACCCTGACCTTCCTGCCTCAGCCTCCTCAGTTGTGAGATTAGACAGGAAGGACTATGCCCAGCCGATTTACTTTTTTGTTTTGTTGAGATAGGGTTTCTCTGTGTAATAGCTCCAGCTGTCCTCTCCCAGCCCATCTATGTTTTTATTAGTGTCTAATTATACATAGGTCCTGGGGATCTAAACTCCAGTCCTCACACCTGCAGGGCAAGCGCGTTAGCCGCTGGGCCCCTATGTGATGAAAATGTATTGAAAACATATTAATTTCAGAAGATAAGGCTATTCGATCCCCTGGTTGACATCACACTCCCTGGTGCCCTAACATCCTTAAGCAAAGGACTGCGTGTCAGGCATCTGGCTGTACTACCCTTATGCCCATACTGGCGGTTTCGAACATTCCACAGATGTGCAGGGCTAAAATATAACTTCATTCTAAGAGGTGTGGCTTCAGCGGTGACTGTTTAAACAGTTTTGGGGAGGTCTTTCCCAGCAGCCTCTTATGTCAGGTAGGAGGAGCACTTCCCTATGTAGTCTAGCAAAGGAGACTATGACTGGTACAAAACAAACAGTGCCTTGGCTGGTGTTACCACCATCCTTCATTTGCATAATGACCTGTCCTGATTGGTGCAAACACCTCTCATCTTAGAGGAATATTATATTAGTTGTATTAGGCTATTTGGCCCACTTCGTAAATGGGCTGGAAAACACCTTTTGAGAGGTACATGTGTACAGCAGATTGATCTCAAACGTGACCTTGGAATTCTGGATCCCTAACTCAGTTTCCTAAGTGCCGAGATTATATCTGGCAGGAGTTTTTATATCATCCCACTGTAGTAGTCCAGGCTAAATTCGAACTCACTGAGATCTACCTACCTCTGGATCCCAAGCGTTGGTATGTACCACCACCATGCTCATCCTTTTTCACCTACTTTTCTAGGTTGAGATGGGCTGGTATGGCAAAGAAAGAAATGATAGCAGTAGAGACAAGGAGACACTGGGGCAGAGCTGCAACAGAGGCAGAGATGGGGGTGGGGAAGCAGTTGTAGAAACAGAGGCTGTAAGAGGCAAGAGTCTTAGCCTTTTCTCAGAAACTATCACTAGCCACTGTCAAAGGCTGGGAAATCTGGACAGTTAGGCCTACACAAGAGCTAGCCACTTGCCACTGTAGCCCGAAGGGTCCCAGGCAGTATCTAAGGCTGCAAAGGATCTGGAACCATTGCAGCTCCTGCCTATCTCCTTTGTTGTCAGAAGCAGAGGGTTACAAAACCTGCCAAGGACCAGCCCTGGAAAAACTCCTAACTCAAGATTTCTATTTTGAAAGAGCAAGGACCCCAGGCAGCTAGTTGCTAAAAGAGGCACGAGAAGGACCAAGTGGAACACTTTCCCAGAACAGACCTCAGTACTGAAATTATCTTCTGCTAGGGTTATGTAACTGAGAAGGCCAGTGTCCTGCCATCTGTGCTAACAAATGTGCCCGTGGAAGGTAATAATATGGAATCACTGAGGAGTAAAAAACCCCAGCGAGATATGGAAGAGAGAAACCGAACAGCGTTCTAGAGAGCTGTGCAGTAGTGTCTGTCGCCAGCGTCCTCAAACTTGCAAACTATAGATTCATTTATCAGTTCCCTTTGCCCAAACCTGCTTGACTCAGACTTCTGTCACTGGAGAGGTCCTAACAAATGCCCTAAAGTTAGCCCCTCTGCAAAGTCAGAGGCTGGTCCAAAGCTGCCTTGTCACAGCGGAGTCCTGCGCCATCTGGTTCCACCATCTGGTTCTGGGAGATCTGAATCTAGTTTGTTTGTTTGTTTGATGGTTTGTTGGATTGATTTTATGTATATGAGTACACTGTAGTTGTCTTCAGACACACCAGAAGAGGGCGTCAGATCACATTGTAGATGATTGTGAACCACCATGTGGTTGCTTGGGAATTGAACTCAGGACCTCTAGAAGAGCAGTCAATGCTTTTAACCACTGAGCCATCTCTCCAGCCCTGAATCCAGAGTTAAAGGGCAGAAGCAAACATTCTGGACACTAGGAGCACAGGCTTCCGAGCTACGCTCCAAATTTTGCGTGATGGCTGTGCAGCCGGAAAAGTTCTGCAAGGATTTAGTGGTGGTGGTGGTGGAGGTGGGAAGGGAGGATGCATCTTCACCACCTACCGTGCCTCTGGCCCTAGGAGAAAGCCCAATACTCTGGCCCACAATGCCTCGCGCCAAGGCCGGCCCCGCCCCCTTCGGCTGGGTTCTCAGCCTCGGAAGGGTTTTAACGACTTCCGCTTTTCCGGTCCCGGCCCTCGTATGAGAAGCGACTGAAACTGCTAGCGGCATGCGGGGACCGGGAGTAGGTTCGGGGC